TACTGCCACTGGCGCCTTTTGGGTTACAGAGCAGGATGGTTTAATCCCGTTTTACTGCAGCCGTTTGGCTTCTATACGACGTTGAGATTGATGTAGTCCACGAGACCTCCTCACTCTTTTCAAGGAGGTATCCTGGACTGCACCAATCTCAACATCGTATAGAAGCCAAACGGCTGCAGTACAATGGGATTTAACCGTCCTTTTTTGGTGACATCGATCTTCGAATCTCTTCTTCATTCACTTTTATACGAAATAAATGTCCCAACAATAATATTATTTCAAGAGATTAATCAAAACCCAGTTACCTCTCATATCTTCAAAAGAATAGTTTAAGAGCATGCATTTTGGTTATTTTTTCTACAAACTTTAGTGGCTACCTATATGTATATAGCAGTATGTCAAGCCAACTTAAATCAATACAAAATAGAATATTTCACTGCTTTTAATTTAGAATAAAAATCACTGAATGCATTATACATTTCTCACAGCATAAATAAATACATTTGGGATTGATCTATTTTGAATAATTCTGATTTATTTGAGTCAGCAGCCAAGACTGGGTGCGACATTTTGAAAACATTCAATTAAGAGTCAACACTGCTTAAAGCTATAGTAGTAATGCGTTGTCATTTGCATCATTGATCACGTATTAATACATACAGAGGGATGCACACGCAGCTGGTCTCCTTAAAATTTAACAGCTACATCTGCATTTACGGCAGAGCCGCACCAACGCTTGAGGAAGTCCATCGTATCAATACATTCGGCCGTACGTGCAGCTCTACATGCCGCTTCAAAAGAATTCCAGTCGCGTCGATTGGCGACTCGGTTGGAATTTTGAAATCGAATCTCACCAGCAGGCTGAAGTATCGGATAGCCAGTGATCAGGCAAGGCAGAGCGGTGGGGCCTTGGCTCTTGGGAGTGCTCAGTGCAGCCACGTAAATGCCACGCTCATCACAGGGTAATGATTGTTCAAGTTTATGGTCCATTGAGACGGCTAAAATCCATTCTCGTACGCTCTCGTGCTCCTCCTGGTTTGTGTAGGCCTCCTCGGGTAGAGGGACCTCTAATGGTATGTCTGTTTCCTAGAAATAAGATAAAATTTGAATATTTTTGCTTAACAGAATTCAAGCCTGTCAGAAGTAAATTAATTAGTATTCATCAGAAAAAATGGAAATTAGAACAATTTGGTGAACAATTTGTTAAATTTTATCATTGAACCCTAAAGACTGTCATGCATCACTTAGCCAGAAGTTCCCTCTAACCTATTTACTTTCTTAGGTAAATATAAGGAGGAAGATAGTAATCACTTTCACCGTTGCTATTGGCATGAGTTCAGAATACAAGGTGAAAGTGGTATTAACAAATTCTTCGGGCTTGTTATCTACGATAAATCGGGATGATTGCATTTTTAAATTGGGAACTTAATAGTCACTGATAGTGAATTAATTGTTTACCTGATTTACATATATGTTTAATATGTCATTTTATTGTTAAAGAATCTGGGACCATATTCAGCAGAGAAGATAAGGCAAAATTTTAGATATGATTAAGGTCGATACATTGATTTAATGATCATCAAAACAACAAAAAAACTTATTTATCATATATAAGCATAGCTTCGAGAACTATATTCACCATATCTTATTTAGGATGATGACGAACCGGTGGCTGAGTTTTCCTACAATCATATCAGTAAGCCTAGTTTTCCATTTATTTTCACATAGCCATGCCTCCCAAAAGTTATTCTTATTCAGGCTGGATGGTAATTCAGCTAAGACCATACCTAAGACTCATCAGCACCCCTAATTGGACTCGAAACTTGTTGGTTCAGCGTATACTCTCAACACGTTAACTCAACCACGCTGCGTTGCTACAAGTGCCCTCGACTCACAGGGAAGACATAAATATCAAGAAACGCCAGGCGCCAGAAATACGAATTAATCTATCCAATCTGTGATATGCATCTTAATACATCTGTAAAAAGCGATTAAAAGCCAAAATAGAGAAACAAAGTTTACCTGCAAGTCGCTGCTATCCAAAGCACTAGCTAAATTTTTGGGATCCTCGATTGCCTCAACGAGATCCAGATAGCGGTTAAGAAAAACGAAAGCCATAGAAGTCCAACCTTGTTCTCGGCAATTTATTCCTGCCTCGTAGAAAGCCTTATCAGCAGGTATGATGTCAGAGTGTCGAAGGAGGGAGATGCTCAGTTTAGCCGCGATCTTTAAGCACAACAATAAGAAATAGACGAGGAAATTAGAGCAACTATAAAAAAACTAAGGAAGTTATTCGATCGGCCCTTGCTGTGACTAGCAAGAACTCGTGTACAAACTACATACTTGGCTAAGCATTCTGATAAGATTAATTACTAGGTGTCGCTTTGCGGATATCAAGTTATCTTG